CGACTTCATAGCCGAGCCCAAAATTGATGGGATGACTGTCCCGAGCCGAGTTGTCGACGTTTATAGTAAGTTTTTCCTTTCATTCTACACTTCACCTCCTAACCACGGGCTTGCTTTTTCGCTAACAGATCGGAACTTTTGATATTTGTAGCCCGGAGGAAAAAGGAACCCAAGCTCTCTGCCGAGTTCGCTGAGAGGCTTCAGGATCTTGCGAAAGTTCCGCATTCCAATCGTAGCTGGCGTAAGTTGTTGAAGGAGGTTGAATTAACGAAAGCCGAACTTTCTTCGCCCCGCCCGTTTAAGACGTTCGTTCCTGGTGAGCCGGTTTGTTCTTCCATTATCTTTGACCTTGGGTTTTGATGTGTTCCGTCCTTCGTACCTGATTTTTCGGTCTGAACTTTTGCAGTTTACTATCCGATCCTCGGTTTTCACGGCTTCAAGTCGGTTGAGGACGCCGACCATTCCCGACGCAAACTTTCCAGTTCCGAGGTCCAACTTCAATTTGCCAAGGATATTGAGATGGGTCGCTTGAAGTTCTTACAGAGTGTGAAGAATGCCTCCACCAATCGCGGTGCTTCAACCACGGGTCCTGTTACCAGGTCGATGCTTCCAACGGGTGAACCGAAGTCGGTCCAGGCCCCTGTTGCTGACCCACCTACCGAGCAGGTCCAGGGGACCGAGTTGGTTGTGAAGTCCCCTACCCGCCCCGACGTCGGGGAGGAGGTGATCCCAGAGACCCCCCAAGATGCTCCTATCCTCGTGTCCAGCGCCGAGGAGGCTGAAGCGGAGAAGAACAACGCGGAGAGGGGCGATGGCCGCAAGAAACGCAAGTCCAAGAAGAAGCCCGAGGACGAGCCGCACACCGCCGGGGAGCGTCGATCCAAGATGAGGCACGAACCAGTTCTGACTTTGGAAGAGAGGAATTCTCCCGTGCACTAGGACAAGAGTTCTACCTTCTTGCCTCTCGACGACGAGAGGGTCCTCAACCTCAACTTGCCTCCTGGTGTCCCTGAGTGGTTTACCGACTTTCATTCCGTGGCGCACCCCGAGATCCCGAACAAGTACCACCAGCCTTCCCACGTGATTGAGGCGGCCCAAGTTCCCCTGATGGCTTGGGACCCGACCTCGGAGGTGATGCTGTCGTCGATGTCGGACGTTCAGAAGTTCAGTTATGCGAAAGCTTGCCTGGGGAGGGCCTTGGTGAGCTTAACTTCAGTGGAAGACGTGTTCCGTTCGAACTTTACCGAGCTCGAGGAGAAGAAAGACAAAGTCGTCTATCGCGACGTTCAGATTTCCTCCTTGCAGTCTGAGAAGGCGGGGCTCGAAGCGACGGTGGCCGAGAAGTCCGATCAGTTGACCGCTGCGCAGGCCGAGATCGCGGCCCTGATGGAGGATAAGAAGCGCTTGGAGGCCGAGGTGTACAAGTTGTCAAGCCAAGTCATCGACTCCGAACACAATGCCAAGGAGACGAGCGAGAAACTTGCAAGGGAACGCGAAGATCTTCAGAGGACCCGTCAGGACCGAGCCGAGAAGGAAGCCGAGTTAATCCGACTTAAGGAGTCACACGCGTTGGAGGTTTCCCGACTTGAGAAAGAGAAAACTGAGTACGGGACCCTCATGCGTAACCGAGGTGTCGAAGCTGGCAAGGAACTCGGGAAGGAGGAGTTCAAAAATTCCGAGGAGATGGAGCGTGACCTCGAATTCAACACGTGCTTGAACCTCCGCTGGACCATTGACCGCGTCGGCTCTAGCCTTTATGGCGTCGGCGATCTTGCGCTCATTCTGCACAACAAGATAGTCAGGTTGGGTTTTGACGCTTCGATTTCCGAGATGCGCGTTCCGGCCGACGACGATGAGAGGGACTACGTCGAAGGCGTCTTGAACAGGTCCGATCCGCAAATAACAGCTTCAGCTCTCCCCCCCCCTGAGCCGCGAGAGGCGTGCCGAGCTCCAAAGGGCCTTCATGGATATGGTTCTTGAAGGGGAGAAAGAGAAGAGGGAAGAGCTCGGCCTCAAGTTCATTGACACTCTTGCCGGCATCACCATCGAGCATTTCAGGGTCCTAACTCCGGCCGAGATCAAGAAAGAGGTAGTTGAGTATACTGACAGGATGACCGCTGCTGCAGCCGAGGGGAATGTTGATGCGCCCCGGGTTGATACCGAGCTTGTTACGGTGACTGAATCAGCCGACCCGGGGACAGTGAAGATTCTAGTTGACCCCAACGCCCTCGACGCGGCGATCTATGCTAAGCTGAGCGAGCAAGTCAGAGACACTTCGAGAGATGCCGACGACGATGATTCAGAGGAAGTCGGGGAGGACCCGGCGAAGGCGTCGGAGGGTCTCGGAGAAGGTGTTGGTGAGCCCGAGGATTCTGGAAAGGGAGTTGAAGGATCCGCCGAGTAGGATTGTTTTACTTCTTTTGTTGCTTCGATGTGTTTGTTTTTGTGTCGCGTGGGCCGTTCGGCCGCCGCGTTTGCTCTAGTTTGAACTTTGTGGTTTCGGACGGGGATCGTCGAGTCGACACGTCCCTAGTTTTTTCGCATGTTTATTGTGTTTGCAAGAATCTTTCCCCGGGGTTAATGATAATAGAATCTATCTTCTTAGTTTACGCTTCTCTTTTCTTGCTTTTCTTTATTTTTTCAAACATTCTTGTTTTCAAATAGAAGTTCGGAGGTGAAATTCGAAAATGGCCCGACCTTTTTGTCGCGGCATGAAACGAAGTACGTAAGGACAAGTTTGTTCAATTAACCGCTTTGGACGGGAATAAAATTCCGTTGATCGCAATCACTTGTTAACAAAAATCCGACGAAAAGACCTTTTAGACCTGAAAGTACTTATTTCAAATTCACGAGTTATCTTGAGTACAAAAGATTTTGACACCAAGACTCTATAAAAGATATTTGATTTCACAAAGGCCGTCCTGTTTACAAAATGTTCCCGAAAAGGTAATCGTTGGGAGACTCGTCTTACTTGAAAAAGAAAATTTTCTGGCTAGCCGACTCTCTTAAGTTTTGAAATTTCGCCCGGGGAGGCTTTCTTAATGAATTCAACTTGCAACACGGTAGCTCTTTTGCGGAACGTCGGTGCGGAGACCGACTAGTGGCGCGGAGGCCGGTTTTTGCAGAACGTCGGCGCGGAGGCCGACTAGTGGCACGGAGGCCAGTTTTTGCAGAACGTCGGTGCGGAGACCGACTAGTGGCGCGGAGGCCGGTTTTTGCAGAACGTCGGCGCGGAGGCCGACTAGTGGCACGGAGGCCGGTTTTTGCAGAACGTCGGTGCGGAGACCGACTAGTGGCGCGGAGGCCGGTTTTTGCAGAACGTCGGCGCGGAGGCCGACTAGTGGCACGGAGGCTGGTTTTTGCAGAACGTCGGCGCGGAGGCCGACTAGTGGCACGGAGGCCGGTTTTTGCAGAACGTCGGTGTGGAGGCCGACTTGTGGCACGGTGGCCGGTTCAACGTCATTGATAATATTTTTTGAGGTACACCGCATTCCACGGGTATCGCTGGGGCGTTCCATCCAAGTCTTCCAACCTGTAGGCCCCATGAGGTAGCACTTGGCTTATCTTGAAGGGTCCTTCCCACTTTGGTTTCAAAGGACCCGGGTTGGGCCCTGTCACTCTCTTCAGGACCAGGTCCCCGACTTGGTAAGTTCTTGGTTTCAGTTTAGAGTTGACATAGCGCTCGCATCTCTGTTTGTAAGCTGCATTCCTGAGTTCGGCTTGCGTTCGCAGCTCTTCGACCAAGTCGAGGTTCATGCGTAAGTTGTCGTCGTTCTGGTCTTCCACGAAATTCTCTACTCGGTAGGTCGGCGATCCGAGTTCCACGGGAACCATGGCTTCTGACCCATATGATAGTGAGAACGGGGTTTCTCCCGTCGACGACCTCGGGGTCGTACGATACGCCCACAGGACACCGGGCAATTCTTCTGGCCAAGCACCTTTCGCTGCTTCTAACCGCGTTTTGAGACCATTTTTTATTATCTTGTTCACTGCTTCGACTTGACCATTCGTCTGGGGGTGATACGGGGTTGTGAAGTAATGCTTTATGCCATGCGATGTGCAGAACTCTTCTAATCTTTTTCCTTCGAACTGCCTCCCGTTGTCGGTAATGATCGAGTTGGGCACGCCGAAACGACATATTATCGACTTTCAGATAAAGTCAACCATTTTCTGCTCGGTGATCGTCGCTAACGGCTCTGCTTCCGCCCACTTGGTGAAGTAGTCTACCGCGACAACCGCGAACCTCACTCCTCCTTTCCCCGTGGGTAGCGGCCCGATCAGGTCGATTCCCCACTTGGCGAACGGCCAGGGGCTTACGATCGATTTGAGGGGCTCGGGCACCAGGTTCCTGTTGGGCGCGAACACTTGGCATTTGTTGCACCTCCTCACCCAGTCGGCGGCGTCCCTCCTGAGTGTCGGCCAGTAGTATCCTCTCCGGAGAATTTTATAGGCGAGGGCCTGGCCCCCGGAATGACTTCCGCATACGCCGTCGTGAATTTCTTGGAGCACGAACAGCGACTCTTGCTCGGTCAGGCATCGTAGAATTTTATAGGAGAGGGCCTGGCCCCCGGAATGACCTCCTGGGCATCGGCTTGCACGTTCGATGTTCTTGGGATATGCTCGATCTTGATCTCGAACTTCGCCATCTGCCGTTTGACTAACGCCAGATATGGTGCCAACCGGGGCTCCTTTACCTCGTAACTGCCGAGGACCTGGTTAACGAGCAGCTGGGAGTCCGAGTAGACGTTTAGGTGGGTAAGATTCATGGTTTCAGCAAGACCCAAGCCGGATATTAAGGCCTCGTACTCGGCTTCATTGTTAGTGGCCGGGAAAAGGAACTGGACCGAGTGACAGTACACCCGCTGTTCAGGATCGACTAGGACCATACCTCCCCCCGCCCGAGTTGCTGTGGACGACCCATCAACGTACATCACCCATGGCCGGGTGTCCGTTCTCCCTCGGATCGCGGGGGTGAATTCGGCGATGAAATCCGACAGCACTTGTCCTTTGATGGTCGTGCGGGGTTTGTAGTGTATATCGAACTGTCCTAACTCCACGGCCCATTTAATCATCCTCCCCGACGTGTCTGGCCTGTGCAAGACTTGCTTCAACGGATGGGCCGTCAAGACGGTTATTGAGTGCTCTTGAAAGTAGGGTCGGAGCTTCCTCGCCGCTATGATGAGTGCGTACGCCAGCTTTTCCATCGGGGGGTATCTGAGTTCGGCGTAATGCAACGCCTTGCTTACGTAATAGATCGGGTATTGGCACGTTTCTTCCTCTCTTATGAGCACCGCGCTGACCGCCGAGGTGCTGACCCCGAGGTACAAATATAGCATCTCGTCGGGCTTTGGTTTCTGCAGTACCGGGGGTCGGCTTAGCGTATCTTTGATATTTTTGAGGGCTTTCTGACACTCGTCCGTCCATTCGAACTTTTTCCCTTTTCTGATGGCATCAAAAAAAGGCTTACAGCGGTCAGTCGATTTTGAAATGAATCGGTTCAAGGCCGCCAACCTCCCGGTCAGACTCTGTACTCCTTTTACCGAGGTGGGGGGTTTGAGGTCAAGTATTGCTTGGATTTTTGTCGGGTTTGCCTCAATTTCTCTTTGGCTGACCATGTAGCCCAGGAATTTTCCCGACTTTACCCCGAAGGTACATTTTTTAGGATTCAACACCATCGAGTAATCGCGTAAAATTTTAAACATTTCATTCAAATGGGTTACATGATCATTCGCCACGACCGACTTCACTAACATGTCATCCACATAGACCTCCATAGTTTTCCCTATCAATCTAGAAAACATCTTATTGACTAACCGCTGGTAGGTGGCCCCAGCGTTCTTCAACCCAAAAGGCATCATCGTATAGCAATACAGTCCCCGAGCCGAGTAGAACGAGGTATGCTCCGCTTCCTCCGGATCCATAGGAATCTGGTTGTAGCCCGAGTAGGCGTCCATGAAACTCATGAGCTCGTGGCCCGAGGTTGCGTCGACCATGTAGTCGATGTGTGGTAGGGGGTAGCTGTCCTTCGGGCAAGCTTTGTTGAGGTCGGAGAAGTCTATGCACAGTCGCCACGCTCCGTTTGCTTTTTTGACCAAGACAGGGTTGGACACCCAGGTCGGATACTTGGTTTCCTTGACGAACTTGTTGTCGACCAGCTTGCTCACTTCCTCCTCAAGGGCTTGTTGTCGGTCAGGACCGAGCTTCCTCCTCTTCTGGATGACCGGCTTCACCGTCTTATCGATATTGAGCCGATGGCATGCAACTTTTGGGTCGATCCCCTTCATATCTTCGTGCTTCCAAGCGAAGACGTCGGCATTTGCCCGGAGGAATTGTATCAGTTTAGTTCTGAGTGGTTCAGGCAGGCATGCCCCTATTCGGAGCTGTTTAGGCAAGTCGGGCTGCCGACATCGATCATCTCCACTTCTTTTGAAGGCTCAGCTCGGTTCCCTGACTTCTTCTCCTTGAACTGATCTCGGGGATCGAGGATATCGTCTTCTTTGGCCGGCTCCTTCCCAGGTCGCCTTCCCTGATCCCGAGTTTTGTCTTCCTCATCTGTGGTCGGCGGCTGCTCGCCGTCCCCGTGCCCTGGGTCATTGCCTTCCGTGGCGTCGGCTTCTTCCACCATGTGGATTTCTCGAGACGGTATCTCCAAGAACAACTCCCTTGCTTCCCTTTGTTCCCCGTAATGGGTTCCTTCTCCGTCTGCCGTGGGGAACTTTATAGCGTAGTGGAAAATGGAAACCGCAGCTCGGAGTTTGTACAACGTCGTCCTCCCGATGATCGCATTGTACTCATTGTCGAGGTCCATCACCTTGAAGGTTTCCATGATGACTTTGGACGTCTGCCCGCTTCCTCCGAACCGAATGGGAAGTGTGATTTCCCCCAGCGGGAGCGCCACGCTCCCGTTGAAGCCGTGGACGCGGTCGTTGCAAGGGTTGACTTCGGCGGGGTCTATCCCGAGCTTGTTGAATGCCTTGAGCATGAGGATACTCGTGTAGGCACCTGTGTCCACCATGATCCGGTGGACAGGGATGCCGCAGATGGGGGCCGTAATTATGAGTGCGTCCGAGTGTGGATGATCGAACAGACTTGCGTCCTCCAGCGTGAAAGTGATCGGGCAGGTGCGGGCATTGATCGTTTCTCTAAGATCCGAGGTCATGACCTGCTTCCCCGAGTTGTAGGCTTTTCGCGCATAGGCCTTGGCCTACCTTCTGGATGACGTCGGTGTATCTCGGTTAGTATTAACTCGGGGAATAGGACTTGACCGTCCCGAGGTCGGAGGGGTCTGGCTGGGTCGTGGCTGGACGTCGGCTTCTCGGCCCCTCTTCCTGAGTTGGTCTTGGGGCGAACCGACGTCCGTTGGTCCGATCACGAAAATTTCCTTATCTCCCTGGGCTCGAAGCCTCTTGAAAGTCGATCCCCCTTCATCTCCTTCGTCATCATCGGGGATTTCCTGCGTTCTTCGTTTTCCCTTGCTATCTCCAGCCTTGGTGAATTTCCTCACTTGTGGATTACCGATGAGCTTCATCAGAGCCGACAACAGGCTCAGGCATTCGTCTGTATTGTGACCCGGCAACCTGTGGTAGTCGCAGTAACGGCCCTTGTCGAGTTGGCTCTCCGGGGTTTTGACTGGTCGATCATCTGGGATGATTCCCTTTCCCTTTATTTCCTCGTAGATGGCGGCTGCTCCGACCGAGTAGATAGATCGGTATCCTTCTTTCAAGTCTTCCCGGTACTGTTTCCTCGTTCGGATCCCCCCACCGCGGGTCCGTGGAGGAGGTCTTCTTGTGTGTGTTGCCATAGGATTTCTTCTTCTTTTCCGACGTCGGTTTTTGTCCCGGGGATGCGAACGTGAAATCCGGGACCGACATGCTTTCTTCGGCAATCACGTGGTTTTGTGCCCAGACCAAGAATTCCTGGAAGGTACTGGGCTTGTTTTGGCACAACGCCCACCTGAACATCGACTTCGGCTTCAGCCCTGAAATAGCGCTCACTAAGAGTGTTTCAGGGTGGCATGGCTCCATGTTTTGCACACGCTCGTTGAAACGGGCAATATACTCCTTCAAGCTCTTGTCGTCCTTCTGGACGATATTCGTGATCGACTCCTTTGGGATCAGGCAGACTTGCGCTCCGATGAAATGGGAGCGGAACGCCGACCTGAGTTGAACCCAGCGTCGGATAGATTGCGCAGGCAGCGAGTAGTACCACTTCTGTGCCTTTGGTCCCAGAGTCAGGGAGAACATACGGCACCTAAGGGCGTCGGTGGCCCCGTGCAGATCCATCCATGAAGTGTAATGCCCGAGGTGTGCGTCCGGGTCCGACGTTCCGTCGTACAAGCCAATTTGTGGGACTTTTATTTTCCCAGTTAGTGGCTCTAGAGTCAGCTCGGGGGATAGTGGAGAGTCTGTCTCCACGTACACGTGGCCTGTCTCTTGACTGCGCTGGTTGGGTGGTTACCTCGCCCTTCGGTTCTGTAAGGTCTCGAGTTCGGCGACCCTCCTCCTCAAGGCTTCCATCTCGGGGTTGTCGTGTCTAGCCGTTCGGCCCCGCACTATTTGATGTCGGAGGTCGGTCGGGTTTTCCGCCGCCCTGAATAGGGACCTAGCGACAGCGGTTTCCCTCCGGGCATGCCCAGACTCGCTCTCTGCTGTCATCTCTGGCAGATTCTGTTCTTGGGGGTTCACCATCTTGGCAGGAGGTCGCTGGGTGGCGGCGTCCCTTGGCTGGGACGTCGCGTGCGAGCGTGTTTGGTTGTTCACGCCTTGTTGCGGTGGCGGTGCCGCCGGTCTAGCCAGGGTTATGGGCGCAAGTGACTGGCCTGGCGCGGCTCTCGAGGTTCCCGGCATCGTTTGAGCCAGTAGCGTCGAGAAGCCTTTTGCGAATTCGGGGTTTTGCATGAGCGTTGCCAGGTCTGGTATCATAGCCGTGTTGGCTCTACCCGTGGAGGGGATCGGGCCACGGTTGTCCTCCCCCCTAGTAGTTTGATCGTCTTGTTCGGAATGTGCCATCATTGTGTACTTCCGAGTTAGTGATTTCAAAGGTGGATGCTGGATTCAAAGATTAACCTCAAAGTATCTTATGAGGCCCCTTCCTCTAGCGCCAAACTGTTGATAAACGGATTTGATCAACCTTTTTTATTGTTAATTTCTTTGACTTGCCTGGAAATAATACGAGTTTATTGGTTAAGCGTGGAATAATTTGGGATTGGCTCAAGTCGGTTTTCAGGACTTGAGGTCGGTTTTCAATAGTACAATTGTGTTGGAGAATATTACAAGACCGAGGTGATAAATGCGGAATTAATTGTGTCGGAAAAAGATCCTCGTATTGTGTTTAATACTGCTATTTATAGTAACTGTGGGCTCGTCTTTTGAGGGGATGCGGCGGCATTTAATGCAGTGTGACAGAACCCAGAACCTTTTCAGCAAGTGGGCCCCCTTTGCAATGATGTCCTCACGTGGCCCTCAGCTATCTTGATGGACGTGCATTTAATGTTGTCTGTCGGTCCCGACGTCGGCCCATATTTGAGATCACCTATGCAGTGAGGTCGGTGTCTTGACGTAGTAGGTCCTCCGAGGTCGGTTTACACAGCTCGGGAACATTATCCTAGTTCTACTCGGGTCGGCCCCCTTTTTCCCTTTCTGTCCACGTGTCGTTCATCCGACGTCCGTAGGAATTTGATGTCAACAGGTGTTTCTCACTTTGCTTGCTACAACTAACTGATTGAACCTAAGAATGCTAAAGAAGCCTTGAAAGATGAGTGTAGGATCTTGGCTATGCAAGAGGAGCTGGAGCAGTTCAATAGAATGATGTTTGGGAGCTAGTGCCTGAACCTTCGTCAGGAAATGTTATCAGAACCAAGTAGATTTTCAAGAACAAAACTGATGAATTCGGGAATTTGACTCACAACAAAGCGAGATTAGTTGCTCAAGGCTACACTCACACTCAAGGGATTGATTTTGATGAAACCTACGCCTCCGTTGCAAGACTAGAATCGGTACGTATATTTTTGTCAATTGCATGTCTAATGAAGTTCATTGTCTACCAGATGGACGTGAAGTCAGCCTTTCTAAATGGAATTTTGCATGAAGAAGCATACATAAAGCAGCCTGAAGGGTTCAAAGACCCCAAAAATCCAAATCATGTTTACAGACTCAAGAAAGCTTTGTACGGACTAAAGCAAGCGCCCCGTGCGTAGTATGAGCGTCTTACCATGTACCTGCTGGAGAAGGGTTTCAAGAGAGGGGGAGTAGACCAGACATTCTTTGCTCTTCGAACAAATGAAGATCTGTTGGCTGTTCAAATCTATGTGGACGACATAATCTTTGGGTCAACATCCAAGAAGTTGGTCAATCACTTTGTTAAACTTATGTCGTCTGAATTTGAGATGAGTCTGGTGAGTGAAATTTCATACTTCCTCGGGCTTCAGGTAAAACAAGGTAAAGATGGTATTTCTTGCATCAAAGTAAATATGCAAAACTTTGTTAAAAAGTTTGGTCTTGAAAATGCTAAAGATCCTCAAACTCCCATGGGCATGCATGTGAAAGTGTCCAAAGATGATGAAGGTACATCTGTTGATCAAACACTTTACAGAAGTATGATTGGTAGTCTTCTCTATCTCACTGCTAGTAGACCTGACATTAGTTTCAGTGTTGGACTTTGTGCCAGATATTGGTCCGCTCCCAAAGAATCACACATGAAGGCAGTCAAGCATATTATAAAATAAGTTGGTGGTTCGTCGGAATATGGCTTGTTCTACTCAGCTGATACGAACCTACATCTTCCAGGTTACTGTGACGCTGACTAGGCTGGAAATCTTGATGATAGGAAAAATAATTCTGGTGGTTGTTTTTATATCGGTTCAAACTTGGTGTCATGGTTCGGTAAGAAGCAAAATTGCATCTCACTCTCTACTGCTGAAGCTGAGTACATTGCGGCTGGGAGCTGTTGCTCACAGTTGGTCTAAATGAAACAAATTTTATCTCAGTATGGTATGAACGTTCATTCGGCTCAACTTTTTTTGTGACAACACTAGTGCTATAAATATTTTAGAAAATCTCGTCCAACATTCTCGTACCAAACATATTGACATTCGCTATCATTTTATTCGTAAGTTGATAGAAGATGGAATTATTGTGTTGGATCATGCGCCTACAGATGATCAGCATACTGACATTTTTACATAAGCACTTGATTCGAAACGTTTTCTGTCATTAAGGAAATCTTTAGGAATGTGTGTTATAATATCAATGCATTAATGTCAGTTGCATTTGTATATATCTAGTCGCATATAGGCTACTTTCTGCATTTAGACATTGTAGTATGTAGGTTCATCCCTAGAAAATTCTTTGAATTATTTATTGTGGGATTTGTTGATTGGTGGTCTATGGATTCTAACTGG